GCTGGCATTAAGTCGGGCCTGTCCTCCTACGGGGGGGGTTTTGGACGAAGTACTTTAAAATTATAGCCGGAGTGCAGTATCCCCAAACAGGGTTTTTAGACCCACTGCGGTTTCCAAGGTCGATTGCGTGCCAGTCCAGTCCGGGCTGGCATGGTGTGTTAAAACATGCATCCTCCTCCTCCTCCTCCTCCTCCTCCTCCTCCTCCTCCTCCTCCTCCTCCTCCACCTCCCCTTCATCCCGAACGGCATCTCGGAGACTCGGAGCCCAGAGTTGCGAGGATGTCTCCAGCGTAACGGGCTGGACCACCTCGCGCGCGGCATTTCGGACCCCAGAGTTGCGACGATGTCTCGGGCGAAACGTGCTGCGAGGAAGTCTCAGGCGAAACGGGCCACCTCGAGCGCGGCGTCTCAGAGCTCCGAGTTGCAGGGGCCTCCCGGGGCCTCGTGGGACCTCCTGGTGACCACTCCTGTGGCCTCCTGGACCCCACCTGGGGCTTCCTGAAGCCTCTTGGGGCTCCCAGGGGGGGGTATCTAACATGTGGCCGTCGGGGCCCCCCAAAATGGGGGGGGGGGCACAACAGCAGGAAAAATCAGCGAATCGACGCCGGGTGTGTATTGGCTTGGCGCGTTCTGGTGAGGGGCCTCCTGGGGCCTCCTGGGAGCCGCCTGGGGATCTCCCGCGGACCCTTGGGGCCTATCCTGGGCGTCCTGCGGCCTCCTGAAGCTCTCTGGAGCCTCCTGGGGCTTCCAGGGTCCCGGGGGGGATATGTAACATGTGGTCTTCTGGGCCCCCAGGCTGGGCCATCTCTTGCGCAGCATCTGAGAGCTCAGAGTTGCGAGAATGTCTTGTGCGAAACGGGCCAGACCACCTTGCGCACGGCGTCTCAGAGCTCAGAGTTGCGAAGATGTCTCAGGCGAGATGGGCCGGACCACCTCGCGCAGGGCATCTCGGAGCCCAGAGTTGCGAGGATGTCTCCAGGCGAAACGGGCTGGACCGACCTCGCGCGTCGGCACCGGACCCCAGAGTGCGACGATGTCTCGGGCGAAACGTGCTGCGAGGAAAGTCTCAGGCGAAACGGGCCGGACCACCTCGAGCGCGGCGTCTCAGAGCTCCGAGTTGCGTGTGTCTCCTGGGGCCTCCTGGGGCCTCCTGGTGACCTCCTGGGGCTTCCTCCTGGGCCTCCTGTGGCCTCCTGGACCCCACCTGGGGCTTCCTGAAGCCTCTTGGGGCTCCCAGTGTGATGTGGCTCGGGGCCCCCCAAAATGGGGGGGCCACAACAGCAGGAAAAATCAACGAATCGACACCGGATGTGTATTAACTTGACACGTTCTGATAGGGGGCCTCCTGGGGCCTCCTGGGAGCCTCCTGGGAATCTCCTGCCGACCTGGGGCCTGTCCTGGGCGTCCTGCGGCCTCCTGAAGCTCTCTGGGGCCTCCTGGGGCTCCCAGGGTCCCAGGGGGGATATGTAACATGTGGTCTTCTGGGCCCCCAGGCTGGACCACCTCTTGCACGGCATCTGGGAGCTCAGAGTTTCGAGAATGTCTTGTGCGAAACGGGCCGGACCAACTTGCGCACGGCATCTCAGAGCTCAGAGTTGCAAGGATGTCTCAGGCGAGACGGCCGGTGTCTCGGAAGTCTCAGGCGAAACGGGCCAGACCACCTCGAGCGCGGCGTCTCAGAGCTCCGAGTTGCGGGGGCCTCCTGGTGCCTCCTGGGGCCTCCTGGGGACCTCCTGGGGCTTCCTCCTGGGCCTCCTGTGGCCTCCTGAACTCCACCTGGGGTTTCCTGAAGCCTCTTGGGGCTCCCAGGGGGGATATCTAACCCGTGGCCGCTTGGGCCCCTCAAAATAAAGGGGGGGGGGCACAAGAGCAGGAAAAATCAACGAATCGACACCGGATTTGTATTAAGTGGACACATTCTGATAGGCGGCCTCCTGGGGCCTCCTGGGAGCCTCCTGGGAATCCCCTGCGGACCCCTGGGGCCTGTCCTGGGTGCGGCCTCCTGGAACTCTCTGGGGCCTCCTGGGGCTCCCAGGGTCCCAGAGAGGATATGTAACATGTGGTCTTCTGGGCCCCCAGGCTGGACCACTTCTTGCGCGGCATCTGGGAGCTCAGAATTGCGAGAATGTCTTGTGCGAAACAAGCCGGACCACCTCGCGCAGGGCATCTCAGAGCTCAGAAGTTTGAGGATGTCTCTGGCGGGCACCCAAAGTCCCAGGGAGGATATGTAACATGTGGTCTTCCGGGCCCCCAGGCTGGACCACCTCTTGCGCGGCATCTGGGAGCTCAGAAGTGTGAGAATGTCTTGTGCGAAACAAGCCGGACCACCTTGCGCACGGCATCTCAGAGCTCAGAGTTGCGCGGATGTCTCAGGCGAGACGGGCCGGACCACCTCGCGCAAGGCATCTCGGAGCTCAGAAGTTCGAGGATGTCTCAAGCGAAACGGGCCGGACCACCTCTCGCGCGGCATCTCCGAGGTTAGAGTTTCGAGGATGTCTCAGGCGAAACGGGCCGGACCACCTCGCGCAAGGCATCTCAGAGCTCAGAGTTTCGAGGATGTCTCAGGCGAAACGGCCTGGACCACCTCTCGCACGGCACCTCGGGGCTCAGAGTTTCGAGGATGTCTCAAGCGAAACGGCCCGGACCACCTCTCGCACGGCACCTCGGGGCTCAGAGTTTCGAGGATGTCTCAAGCGAAACGGCCCGGACCACCTCTCGCGCGGTGTCCCGGAGCGCAACTTTTCGAAGATGTCTCAAGCGAAACGGCCAATCCCGGCCAACTCAGAAACGAGAGTTGTGAGGATGTCTCCAGCGAAACGGCCCGGACCATCAAATTTTGGTAAGGATGTCTCTGCTCCGACTTCCCTCTGCCGGAATTAGCTTCTATCACAACAGCACCCCGCTCAGCAAGCTGTTTGGGGAAATACCCCCAAATGGTCAAACAAATACCAAACAATTCGTCCCCAGACTATTTTTTCACTATTTTTAATAATCCTCCTGTAGAGGGACAGGCCCGACTTATGGCTTGCAGGGGCAGACCAGTGGCACTCCGTGCCACTGGTCACTCCGTGCACTCCGTGGCGATACGCGGCAGAGGCTGCCCTGTGGCTTGCTTTACAGCAACCTCCCAGAAGTTTAAAAAACACCGGCGAAAAAAAACGCCTCGGGAGGAGTACCCTTAAGTCGGGCCTGTCCCACTACAGGCCGATTTTGGACGAAAAAATAAGAATAGTCAAAAACGACCCTAAAACAAACACAAAAATGGTGAAACACCTCGTCCCAATACGATTTTTTCCCTATCTCTGGAGACTCCCCCTGTAGAGGGACAGGCCCGACTTGAGAATACCCCCGTCCCGAAGCATGGGCCGAGACCTCCGGAAGGGAAGCTCGGAGCTGGCGGTGCGAAGCGGGGGGGGTCGGGGATCTTCTGACCCGGGTCAGTCCAGACCCGGGTCAGCAGGAAACCAAAAACTGCAAGGCAGGAAAGAAAAAAAACAACTGCACCGCAGGTCTTCGCAGACCCGGGTCAGCCAATACGCGCGGCCGCCTCGCGGCCACGAGCGGCTCCCTAACCCGGGTCAGCCAGAGGGGGCCTTCGCAGGATCCTGCAGGATCTGGCGCCCTGGCTGACCCCCGTCTGTATTGACCCCCGTCTCGAGGCTCCCGAGGGGGGTAAGGGGAGGGTGGGCGCCGGCCGGCGGCGCTGCTCTTCGGAGGCGTTTGCTCTGCGGGCAGCCTGCCGTGGCCCGCCTCGACCGTTCGCAGCGGTGCTCCCGCGACGGGGCGCTTCTCCTCCTCCTCCTCCTCCTCCTCCTCCTCCTCCTCCTCCTCCTCCTCCTCCTCCTCCTCCTCCTCCTCCTCCTCCTCCTCCCGTCCGCGCCTCGTGGAGGGCGTTCAGGGATGCCCGAATTGCTCCGGGCGGCCGCCAGAGGCCCGAATCATGACGTGATCACCGCGCGCACCCCGGATCTCCGCCGAGATCGGAGGTTCGAGGTTCGAGGATCGAAACTCGAGGATCGAGCCTATTCTCATTCTCGGCTCTTGGGCCTCCAGGAGGCTTCTCTTGGCCACGCTTCGGGATCCTGGGCAGAGCGCACCCCAGGAGAGGGTCCGGCTGCGACGGTAAGGCTTCGGGTTGCACACAGACAGCCCCCCCCCCAAAGTCCCAGCTGGCCTCAACAGGCCCCCCGAGTAGGGCCAGGTGGCCTCAACTGGCACCCCGAGTCGTCCCAGCTGGCATCAACGGGGCCCCCTAGTAATCCGGGGCGGTCTCATCCTCGTCCCCGTAGTTGTCCTCGTCCTCGTCCTCGTTGTCCTCCTCCTCCTCCTCCTCCTCCTCCTCCTCCTCCTCCCTTTCCTCCTCCTCCCTTTCCTCCTCCTCCCTTTCCTCCTCCTCCTCCTCCTCCTCCTCCTCCTCCTCCTCCTCCTCCTCCTCCTCCTCCTCCTCCTCCCTCCTCCTCCTCCTCCTCCTCCTCCTCCTCCTCCTCCTCCTCCTCCTCCTCCTAGCCCTCGACCTCGCCCTCCTGAGACTCACATAGAAACGATGAGGTCAGGGTACCATGACCTACAACCGCTTGAATCGACAGACGCCCCTGGTCAGATCACCGAGGGACACAAAGAGTTCCTAGAAATCACGGAGTGGAATACGACAGCTTCACAGTGCACCGAATACCTCGGCCTCCTCGCCCTCCTCCTCATTCTCCTCTTCCTCCTCCTCCTCCTCCTCCTCCTCCTCCTCCCTCCTGCTCTCCAACTCCTCACCTCCTTCCTGCTCCTGCTCCCCCTCCTCCTCTCCTCCTCCTCCTCCTCCTCCTCCTCCTCCTCCTCCTCCTCTCCCTCCCCCTCCTCCAACTCCCCTCCTCCTCCTCCTCCTCCTCCTCCTCCTCCTCCTCCTCCTCCTCCCCTTCCTCCTCCTCCTCCTCCTCCTCCTCCTCCTCCTCCTCCTCCTCCTCCTCGGGTGGGTCGATGAAGAATCGGACCGCTTCGACGTCGAGGCGGTCCCCAGCCCTCGAGGCGCGCCGCACCGCTGGAGCTCCGCGAGCACGCGCGTGGCGTCCGCCAGCTGCTCCTCTGAGCACGACGACGACGACGACGACGGCGGCGGCGATGGCGACGACGACGGCGGGGCCGACGACGACGACGACGACGACGACGATGGCGACGACGACGGCGGGGCCGACGACGAGGCCGACGAGGCTAACGAGGCCCACGACGACGATGCCGACGCCGACGCCGACGACGAGGACAAGGCCGACGACGAGGCCGACGACGACGACGAGGCGGACGACGACGACGAGGCGGACGCCGCCGACGACGCCGCCGACGCCGACGCCGAAGACGAGGCCGACGACGAGGCCGACGAGGCCGACGAGGCCAACGACGCCGACGACGACGACCACGACGACGAGGCCGACGAGGCTGACGACGACGCCGACGACGACGACGAGGCCGACGACGAGGCCGACGAGGCCAACGACGAGGACGACGACGAGGCCGACGACGACGCCGACGACGACCACGCCGACAACGACGAGGACGACGACGACAACGACGACAACGACCGACGACGCGACCACCAACAACGACGATGACGACGACGACGACGAGGCCAACGACGCCGACGACCACGACGACGACGAGGACGACGACGAGGCCAACGACGCCGACGACGACGACGACGACGAGGACGACGACGAGGCCGACGACGACGACGCCGACGACGTCGAGGACGAGGGCGCCGACAACAACGACGACGACGACGACGAGGCCCAAGAAGCCGGCGACGACGACGACGACGGCAACGACGACGAGAGCGACGAGGCCGATGAGGCCGACGAGGCCGACGAGACCGACGACGAGGCCGACGACGAGGCCGACGAGGCATACTAGGCCGACGAGACCGACGACGACGCCGACGACGACGACAACGACAACTGCGACGACGATGACAATGACGAGACCGACGACGACGACGACGACGACAACGACAACGACAACTGCGACGACGATGACGATGCCGACGACGACGACGCAGACGACGACGACAACGACAACTGCGACGACGATGACGAGGCCGACGAGGCCGACGTCGACGACGACGCCGACGACGACGACGCCGACGACGACGACGCCGACGACGACGATTATGAGGCCTATGAGGCCGACGACGCATACGACGACGAGGCCGACGACGATGCCGACGACGATGCCGACGAGGCTGATGACGACGACGACGACGAAGACGACAGAGACGAATCGATGAGGCCGACGAGGCCGACGAGGCAGACGACGACGACGACCACGACGACGAGGCCAACGAGGCTGACGACGACGCCGACGACGACGAGGCCGATGACGACGACGTCTCCACCGACCACGACGACGACGCCGACGACGGCGACGACGACAACGACGACGAGGCCCACGAGCACTGCGACGGCGACGCCGACGACGACGAGGATGATGACGACGAGGCTGACGAAGCCGACAACGACAAGGACGACGGCAACGACGGCGACGACGAGGCCGACGAGGCTGACGAGGCCGACGACGACGCCGACGACGACGACGAAGACGACGACGAGGCCAACGAGGCCGACGACGACGACAAGGCCGACGACGACGACGTGGCCGACGAGGCCGACGACGACGACGACGAGGACGACGACGACGCCGACGACGAGGCCGACGTCGACGGCGACGACGACGACGATGACAAGCCCGACGACGAAGACGCCGACGACGCCGACAACGACGACGACGACGACGGTGGCAACGACGAGGCCGACGACGACGACAAGGCCGACGACGACGACGCGGCCAACGAGGCCGACGACGACGACGAGGCCGACGAGGCTGGCGACGACAACGACGACGACAACGGCCACGACGACGACAACGATGACGACGACGACCACGACGAGGCCGACGACGACGACACTGGCCACGACGACGACGACAACGACGACGACGACCACGACGAGGCCGACGACGAAGAAAACAGAGAGGAGGTCGACGAGGCCGACGAGACCGACGATGAGGCCGACGACGACGCCGACGACGACGCCGACGACGACGACGAGGACGAGGCCGATGAGACCGACGAGGCCCGCGAGGCCGACGACGAGACCGACGAGGCCGACGGCGCCGACGAGGCCGACGTTGACGACGACGACGACGACGACGACGACGACGAGGCCGACAAGGCCGACGACGACGACGAGGCTGACGAGACCGACGAGGCCGTCGAGGTCGACGAGGCGGACGACGACGACGACGAGGACTAGACCGAGGAGGCCGACGACGACGACGACGACGAGGCGGTCGACGGCGACGACGAGGACGACGAGGCCGACGAGGCCGACGACGAGGCCGACGACGCCGACGAGGACGACGAGGTCGACGTGGCCGACGAGGACGACGACGACGACGACAACGACGCCGACGCCGATGCCGACGACGAGGCCGACGAGGCCGACGAGGCCACCGACGTGGCCAGCGTGGCCGACGAGGCCGAGGAGGCCAACGAGGCACACGACGACGACGACAACGACGACGACGACGACGAAGCCGACGAGGCCGACGATTACGACGACGCCGACGCCGACGACGACGACGAGGCCGACGAGGCCGACCACGACGACGACGACGACGACGACGACGACGACGACGGCGACGACGACGACGCCGCCGCCGCCGACGACGACAAGCATTGTTCAACCGACCCCTGTCCCCATGGGCGTAGCCCGGGGCCCCACTGGCCGAGTTACCCACCCCAGACGGGGATAGAGGCCGCTCCCTTCGGGGCTCGAGTGGCCCGTGCCCAGCTGGGGTGCCGAGATGATGGGGGTATGGATGGGGACGGGGATGGATACGGGGGTCGGTTACACGATGCTCGTCGCCTTCGTCGTCGCCTTCGTCGTCGTCGTCGTCGTCGGCGTCGTCGTCGTCGTCGTCGTCGTCATCATCGTGGTCGGCCGCCTCGTCGTCGTCGTCGTCGGCGTTGTCAGCGTCGTCGTAGTCGGCCTCGTCGTCGTCGTTGTCGTCGTCGTCGTCGGCCTCGTCGGCCTCGTCGTCGTCGGCCTCGTCGTCGTCGTCGGCATCGGCGTCGGCGCCGTCGTCGTCCTCGTCGGCCTCGTCGGCCACGTCGACCTCGTCGTCCTCGTCGGCGTCGTCGGCCTCGTTGTCGGCCTCGTCGGCCTCCTCGTCCTCTTCGTCGCCGTCGACCGCCTCGTCGTCGTCGTCGTCGTCGTCGTCGGCCTCCTCGGCCTTGTCCTCGTCGTCGTCGTCGACCGCCTCGTCGGCCTCGCCGGCCTCGCCGGCCTCGTCGGCCTCGTCGTCGTCGTCGTCGTCGTCGGCCTCCCGCTCCTCCAGCTGCCGCCGCTCGCCGGGGCCCACGGGGCCCCGGGCGCCGCGGAGCTCGGCCTCCAGGGCCTGCCGCGAGCGCTCCTGGGGGGGGGGGGCGGCGGGCCCTCGGAGGGGTGCCGAAGCCGCGCGTGCGCCCCTGGGCGGGGCGGGGGCCCACGGGGCCGCCCAGCGGCGGGGCACGGGCGCATGCTGCGGCAAGCGGCAGCGGCGGGGGAAAACTTCCGACATGCGGGAAAAACACACAGTGTGGGCAAAAACACACTGTGGGAAAAACACACACGCACACTGTGGGAAAACACACACACAGACTGTGTGTTTTTGTGTGTGTGTGTGTGTTTCCCACAGTGTGTGTTTTGTGTGTGTGTGTGTGTGCGTGTGTGTGTGTGTGTTGTGTGTGTGTGTGTGCGTGTTTTGTGTGTTTTTTCTCACAGTGTGTGTGTGTGTGTGTGTGTTTCCCACGTGTGTGTTTTGTGTGTGTGTTTTTGTGAATTATAAATGTTCTGGATTTGGTTGCGTGCATCGACCGTGCACGTTGGCGGTTGTTGGCCAGAATCGCGGCGCATCCTTGCAGCTGGCCGCACCATGCGTTGGCGTGGACCGCACAAGGATCTGTTCGGCGACGCGGTCGTCCCGAAACCCGGTGGACCGACAGCGTGTCTGCTTTTCTGCGCAGCAGGGAAGAGCGGACTTTGGCACAAGCATTCCGAGAGTTTTCACGAATGAAGTGGTCCATGCTGGAGAAAGAATATGTCGAGTACATGAAGAACTGATTTCCGTCGCCCTTCCCCCCTCACCTCCCCCTCCTTCTTCCCTCCTCCTCCCCTCCCCTCAAGCACGCCTGTCAATACTGCATCCAATGTTTTTCCTTCGCCGCCAGCGTTGCTCGCCATGGCAGGCCTGTTTTACAGTTTCGCCGTCCTCACGAGCGGGGCGTGACGCTCTGAGGCGTCCGATCGGACCTTTGCCTGCTTGCCTGCCTGCTTGCCATCCGCCGAGAGGCCAGCTCCAAAGCTGGGGCCCTCCGTGACGGCTGCTCTTGCGATTCCGAGAACGCGGCATCGCCATCAGCGAAACGGCAAAGCAATTCAACATCCATGTCGTCCAAATATTTCGTGTCTTGCGAGGCACCAGACTGCAAGCCCGTGGCAAGGCCCTCATTAGCAGCCCCTAGAACAAAGGTAATTGTATGTCAAAACATTCAGAGCTCTGAAGTTGTTATTGTAGGAACGGCTGGCGGGCCCCTGCCCCTCACGTCACACATGCAACAAATCACAATGACAGCCTCGGTCCCCGACGTCTCCTGCGGACGAAGACGACGTCCTCCAACATCAACAAGATCCCTTGAGCAATGGCCGCTCCGCCATCGTCACCCTCTGGTGGGTCTTCGAATGATGGTAATTTGAACTTTGCGTTCGCCGATACTTCGAGGACTCTCAAGCCCATGTGAGGCAGCTTGAGGCGGATACGGAATGGCTGTGCATCCAGAACATCACCCTGCACAAGGTCTACATCACGAGCATCAAGCAGATCGTTGTAGGCCGTGTCCGCCCAACGAATAAAGTCGGCACGATTAACGACCCACTGCAGCAGCTTTGGGCCCCCACATATGGGTCCACACAATCTCAAGAAATCGGGTGAGCACCGCAGCATGGGCAAACCAGAAATCTCTGCGTCAATGAGAACAGCCATCCCAGTGCACGGGGGGTCGGTCAGCAGACCAGAGGAATTAGACGTCGAGATACTGATACAACTCTCTGGGATGCCTGTGAAAGCGCTTGAATTCTGTGTCTCTGGGCTCCAGCATAACACGCCTGGACGCGCCTCCCGCGGCTCTTCCGAATCTTCCTTCACACCCACGATGTGGATCAACTCGTCGTGTATGCCAACGCCCCGGGCGTGAAAGAGCTCAACTTTTACCGGCATGCCCCATGAATCCCTTAATGACGTGTGGAGGCTGTAGGTATCGGATATGGGCCGCTCCAAGAAACGAATCAGACGCTCTCTCTCAGTGGCATCAAACGCTAGATTGGAAAAGTGGACTCCCGCCACCACATCACTGGATGATCTTAGGAGCAGGGCGGCAAGGGATGCGCAAGGCTTTGAGAGCTGAAACTCTTCCGAGAGATGTACCACTGCATCGCACACACTTGACAGCAGCCCGTCCGCTGTAGACTCGAACTGTCGTGACGCCTTGGCCTCCAGAATTGCCAAAAACTCTGAATCGCGGGACCATGCGACGACGGCTGCTGAGATGCTAACCAACAATGAGACAAGCAATTCCTGACGTACGTCTACAGGGTCAAGCCACGGAGAAAAAGCTGAGACAACTGCGACGTACACACTGCCAAAACACAAAGACACCATGGGCTTTGCATGTATTAAACTGAACATGGAACAAAAACATATTCTCACGCGGCTCGCATTCAAGAACTCAATTCTGGATGTGGTATTGATCGCAACAATGATGAATATGACATATACACAGAAGTGGAAACAGAAAAAGACGTTCGGGGTCATCCAATCCGGTCTGACGGCGCCCAGCATAGCAAAGGTTCCGATTGCTAAGTTCATGTAGTGCGTGAGCTGGGACGTATCGTCTTGACACAACTGAATTGAATTGTAACAGACGGCTGCAAACAGAGTCCAGGGGCACCCCCAAACAAGTTGCTCCTGAAGTCGCTTGTCTGCCATACCCTTCACATGACGATGCAACGGGTGCGGTGGTGTCATGCAGAGCACCCGCTTCATCGTGGAATGGAACGAAGGAAACATCGAGCCCAATCGCGGTAACTGGGCATCTCGACAAGAAGCGCGCGCCCGCCAGGCAATGGCAACGACTGCGAGAACATTGAAACTGAAGAGCCAAACACGTCCATCAAGCATACTTCGGCCGAACGCTGTAGCTGCCTTGGACTCGGGCCGCTTCCGTGGGATCTGCCTTGAGCCAAACAATGGCTTGAACCAAAATGGTTACGGGATGCCTTTTGGGAACTCTTGGGGCCGCTTCGAAACTGTTGGGGCTCTTTGGAGGCCTCTTGGAGCCTCTTCAGCGCCTCGTGGGGGCTTTTGGGAGGCCTCTTAATGACCTCGGGTCCTCTTGTTTTTGCCGCCACGACATAATGCTATGGTGCTCCCGGCTGGCACCGATCTAGCCCTGATATAATCTTACTGTAGCCAGGTCCAGCTCCAGCTGAATCCTACTAGTGCGTGATCGAGCTCTAAGACGCTAAGAGAACCCGACCATGGATACTGGCTCGGAGATATAACGCCACGCCAACTGACTACCTACCAGACCACCCCAACCCAACCCGAAGACCCGAATTTCGGGTTGGGGGGGGTATGGGCTCCACATGTGTTTTTTCGATGTTCCCGGACCCCCCCCTACTAGAAATCGAGGGTAAATCAGACCCTTCGGGTTGGGTTGGGGTGGTTTGGTGGGTGGAGACCAACAGCACCCGACAGACAAACGAAGGCTTCTGCGCCCAACCCCGCCCGCATCCGCGGACGCGCGGTCCAAACGCCCCCCCCCTATAAAATTCGAAACGGGCTCCTCCTCCTCCTCCTCCTCCTCCTCCTCCTCCTCCTCTTTTTTATCCGAATTCGATTATAGGGGTTGACGGACGGAGCCTGGTTTGGGTGATTTTTTTTTTGTGGCTCTGTGTATCTGCTTGGCTCGGCCCCTGTTTTGGCCTGGTCTGGCTCGGTTTCGCCGCGCGCCCCGCCTGAGACATCCTCAGGACCTCGAAATGTGCCTGGTTTGGCCCCTGGTTTGCCCTGGTTGGGACCCGGTTCCGCTTGAGACGTCCTCCAAGTTTGCCTGGGTTTGCCATGGTTTGGCTTGGTTTCGGCCTCGATATGATTGAAACGTCCTCGCAAAATGTGGTGGCGACTCAACCTAGCATACTGCACAAGATAAATCATCGCAATTCGCCTGGGCCACGTTTCTTCTTTGATACCGAATGGATAGTAACACAGGTCGTGGTGGGTGTTTAGCTATTTTGCTTCGAGCGATCCCCATCGAAACCTTCAGCGTTTGAATCCCACGACGGTGCTTGCGGCCATTGGAACGATGTGCGCGTGGTCCGATCATGTCGGCCAGTGCGGCGGTCTGACAAAATCGCAAATTGCCGTTCCCCTGACACCTAACGACCCCAGAGCCCCTGACGAAAGAAACCGGAACAAGCTCTGCGGCGAAAGACAAACCTTCAAAACGCGTGGTACGAGACTCTAACACAGGTCCTTAAATAATCCATCGGAGGAAGAGGATCAGTCGCAGTGAAAGTAGCAGTAGCAGTAGCAGTAGCATGATCAATAGCAATAGTAGTAGTAGTCGTAGTCGTAGTCGTAGTCGTAGTAGTAGTAGTAGTCGTAGTAGTAGTAGTAGTAGTAGTAGTAGTAGTAGTAGTAGTAGTAGTAGTAGTAGTAGTACTAGTAGTAGCAGTACTAGTACGAGTACTAGTACTAGTACTAGTACTAGTACTAGTAGTAGTAGTAGTAGTAGTAGTAGTAGTAGTAGTAGTAGTAGTAGTACTAGTACTAGTAAGTAGTAGTAGTAGTAGTAGTAGTAGTAGTAGCAATAGTAGTAGTAGTAGTAGTAGTATAGTAGTAGTAGTATAGTAATGGTAGTAGTAGTAGTAGTAGTAGTAGTAGTGGTAGTAGTAGTAGTAGTAGTAGTAGTAGTAGTGTGTAGAAATAGTAGTAGTCGTAGTCGTAGTCGTAGTCGTAGTAGTAGTGCAGTAGTGATAGTAGTAGTAGTAGTAGTAGTAGTAGTAGTAGTAGTAGTGGTAGTAGTAGTAGTAGTAGTAGTAGTAGTAGTAGTAGTAGTGGTAGTAGTAGCTTTAGTAGTAACAATAGTGGTAGTAGTAGTAGTAGTAGAAATAATAGTAGTAGTAGTAGTAGTAGTAGCAGCAGTAGTAGTAGTAGTAGTAGTAGTAGTAGTAGTAGTGGTAGTAGTGGAAGTAGTGGTAGTAGTGGTAGTAGTAGAAGTAATAGTAGTAGCCGTAGTAATAGTAATATTACTTGTAGTCGTAGTCGTAGTCGTAGCCGTAGTCGGAGTCGTAATAGTAGTCGTAGTAGTAGTA